AGCATCACCACCACCACCATCATCACCATTATCATCAACAACAGCATCAGCGACACTATGATCACCATCACCATCATCATCATCATCATCATCATCATCATCAGCAGCATCAGCATCAACATCTTCATAAGCAGCATCATCATCAGCATCACTACCATCATTATCATTACCATCACCACCATCATCATCGTCAGCATTATCATCATCACCACCATCGTCATCAGCATCATCATCGTCATCAGCATCATCTTCAGAATCGGCATCAGCATCAGCATCAGCATCATCATCATCATCATCATCGTCGTCATCGTCATCAGCATCATCGTTCAGAGCATCCACCTTCTCCTTCTCCTCCTCCTCCTCGTCCATCTCTTCCTCCTCCCCATGCCTCTCCCCCCCTCCCTCCTCATGCATCCCAGGAAGCCTCCAGAGGTCCACTCCAGGGCCTCTAGGGTTCCAGGCTGGGGGGCGTGGGGGGGGGAACGCCAACCTTTGCGGCGACGCCAAGCCCGGCCAGGCCCGTCCCAAAGGGGGGGGCGTGGACGCCAGCAGTGGCACAGCACAACACACCATTGGTTGGGAAGCCGTTGCACGTCAACGGTCGAGGAAAGCAAATCCCCAGCATCAAGGCACAGCAGGAGCAGCCAGGAACAGCCGGGAACATCCGAATCAAGAGAAATGGCCGGGATCGGCCGAGAACATCCGAACCCAGAAACTCTTGAACCGCCAGGGATGAACCTGGCGCAATCCCAATAAGAAGTTGACGCTCAAACAGACACGTGGCTGCGTTGATGTTCAGTTCCATGGCATGTCATGCTATATGACGCCATGCATTGCTGCGGCATGGTATGCAAGCTATGCGCATGCTCTGTAAGGGAATCAACAAACAGGGATGTATGGAGGGACGGCGTGCAGAACGACGTGCAGAGCTGATATCGTACCCAGAATGGTATGGTGTAGCTGTGATCGTGGAAGGATCGGTCGGTCAACATTGCGCGTGCCCCAGGTTTACAGTGCGAACTAGGCACTAACAAAGCAGCTCGCGTGTGTCCGATGCAGCGATCGAGTGTGTTCTGACATGCTGCTCGAATGCCCTGGCATCGCGCTCCTTTGCTCTACTATACTGACGCCTACCGAAGGCTACGCTATGCAATGCAGTGCTGTGCAAAGCAACGCAAGGCATTGCAGTGCGGCGCAAAGCAGTACAAAGAAGTCAAGGACCCCTGGGGAACACCAAGGGACCCTGGTAGCCCAGCGGGACCCCACAACGTCGCAACTCGCTCTCCTGCACAGAAGCCGGGGATACCGAGGAACCCCGAGGACCAGCTGGGGCCCGAGATCTTGACCACTGGCCCACTTGCGCAGAAGGAATGGAGTCGATCTTGAGAAGCCGAACTTGAGAGCAAGTATTCGCAAGGAGATGCGGGTTGCGAGAGGAAGGAGGGGAGGGGAGGGGAGCGAGAGAGAAGGGGAGGGAGGGAGGCGTGAGAGGAGGGGAGGAGTCCCTCACATCTGCATCAATGCCCAAGCAGCGTTTGCACTAAAGAGTCCGTTGCCCTTCGACTCTGAAGAATTGAATTCCGATGCCAGAAATTATGCGCCTTGTCCCTGCTCGCCTCTGCCCCTAGTGGCATCCTCCGCTGCCCCCAACTTCCTTGGTTCGACCCTTCCCCCGACTGTCTCCGGCCGTCGGCGCTTGCCCTCCCAGTCCCCGACTATCACTGGTGCTTGCCCTCCGCTGCCGCCAATTTGTTTGTTTCGGCCCTGTCCCCGACTGTCCGCGGCCATGGTCCTTGACCTCCGCTGCCACCAATCCCTTGGATCGGCCCCGTCCTCGCTGTCCCCGGCTCTGCCGCCAATTCTCGTGGCTCGGTCCTTTCCCCGCCTCGGCCCTGGTGTCTTCCCTGATGTCCTTGCTTCGGCCATGTCCCCAGCTGCCCCCGGCCCTGGTGCAGGCTCTCCCGCTGCCGTCCGTGACTCTCCCCAGCCCTGGTGTTTGCCCTCCGCCGACCGCAGCGGAGCTTCCTCCGCGCGGCCCTGTCCGCGATTTGTATCAGCCCTGGCGGTTGCTCTCCGCTATCGCAAAAATGCCCCTGGTCGGGCCCTATGCTCGACCCCCGCTGCCGCCAGTTTTCTTCACCGGGCCGTCCCAGCTACCCGCGCGCCGTGGCCCTGATGCTACCTCATACGTAAACTGCACTCCATAGGTTGCCTTTCATGAGTTGCAGCCCGTAGGCTGTACCCCCGCACACTCAGAAGAAGTCACTGTTTGGGCGTCGCGCGCCGGTGTCATGATTCTCCCCTGGCCATCATGGGCCCAGGGATGGTGCGCAGATCTCCCTGGCCAAAACCACCCCGAACTCAGAAGGATGCCGCGTCCAGCTGCGGCGTTGGTGCGCAGCCAGATCGCCCCGAAGAGAGGGGGCCCTTCTGCGCTCTGCAGGGACCCTTCGGAGGGCTCAATCACACCAAGCGTTGGGCGAGCGGGAAGGGAAGCGGC